TTATTATTATTATTCAATGTTACATTTAAATAATTAAAAAATTTTTTTTTAAAATTTATTTAAAAAAGAGCGGTATGATGTTTAATGTAACATTGAATTGCAAAAACTGCTTTTTGATAGATAGCTTCTCATGGCAATTTGTCAATTAACATTCACAACTGGTCAATTTATTTATACATGGCAAACAACGACCAAACGACCAAACAACAATAATAAATTGGGTTCTTTATTTGGATAGTGCTTATCTAAATGGAACCAAAAACTTGTTCGGAGCTTAACAAACTTATTTGTATATACCTAACTCATTTTTAATGCTGCTCAAAAACTTAATTATAATTTGAAAGTCCTCTCAATAATTTAAAAGAAGTTCTTAATAATGATAAACTTTTTGAGCATTATTAAAAATGAGTTATTTTACAAAAAATTTTGTTAAGTCCAAAAATAGTTTTTGGCGCTTGGTTCCTTTTAGATAAGGATTGTCCATTTATACTTACCATTACAATATTATTTTATCAACCGTTTTGGTTAAAGTAATATTTTGTCTACGATTTTTATTGGATAAAAGGCAGCTTTAACTTTATAATGTAGCTATAAAACAATATTTGCTTGGTAATACATTTTTCTTGTTTATAGGATGCTAAACTAAATAGCAATTTTTCCCACTTCTTTTTTTAATTTTTCAACTTTAAATTTGGTTTAGTTTTCCTAAATTTTCCCAACTTATTAAAATGGATATAGCCGGTTTTCCACGGATGCTCCTCAACTCTGGTCTAGGTCTTTTAAATCAAGTTTGCCTATAATTATAAATTTAGACAATATTTTTAAATAATGACTTATAATTCATCACTATTTTTAAATACACTGCCCTACAAAATTATTGCATAATAAATAAAAAAAATTAACTCTAAAACGCCTTTACTATTCTTTATTAAATTTTGGATAAAAATACTTCAACTTATATCTCAATTTACGTGTTCAAGGGTTTTTCGAGAAAATATGTTTAAAGCCTTTTTATTTAATAATGAAAATAAGTTCGAAAAATCACTTCTAGAGAATTTTTTTAAATAAATAAAAAATATTCTGTTAAAGAGCGTATTTTTTCTAGTATACCCTAAAAAATTTGTACAAATCAAGCAAACAGTAACGAAGATACAGCGCTTCAAAGTCGTGAAAAATGACCACTTTTCAGCAAAATAATCAAAAAGGCGTCATTTTTACCGACTTTGAAGCGCTGTATCTTCGTAAATGTTCGTTTGATTTGTACAAAATTTTTAGGGTGTACTAAAAAAAAATACGCTCTTTAACAGCATATTTTTTATTTATTTAAAAAAATTCCCTAAAAGTTATATTTCGAATTTTTTTTCATTATTAAATAAAAAGGCTTTAAACATATTTTCTCGAAAAACCCTCTAACACGTAATATATAAGTTGAAGTATTTTTATCCAAAATTTCATAAAGATTGGTAAAGGCGTTTTAGAGTTAATTTTTTTATATTTATTTTGCGATAATTTTGTCGGACAGTGTATTAAAGTATACGTCATTATTTAGATTTTTTAGAATTTTTGGTGTATTTAAATCTAATAATTTAAAAAAAACTAGATGTCTTTATAATTCATGAAAAAAATTTTCAGTCAGTTTCACTTGTTTTGATTCCCATTAAAGTTTTACACAAAATTACCTAACCTCAACAATAATTATTAATTCTTATAATAATTATAATTATTGATATATTTGTATATTTTTTATTAACATGGAAATATATTTTTTTAAGGCTTAACTTTTAAACAAAAACGAATCGCATCCATGTCATTTAAGAAAAAATGTTTATAATTAACCCAGCTATCATCTGACAAAGTTTGCCATAGAGCTTGTAGAGCACCCTGTATAATATATTTAAACCTTTTCAAAATTATGATGTATAAACAAAATAAATGAAATGTTTATACCTATAGGAACCTAAATTCAACAATACTTTTAAATTATTATAATATAAATAATTATAATTTAACGATAATTATTACTATGATAATTATAATTCAACAATATTATTAAATATTTAAGTATACCTACGTCATTATTTAAGAATATTGTTAAGTTTAGGTATAGTCTAGGTATTTTAAATCAAATTTGCCTATAATTATAAATTTAGACATTGGCAACACCGCAGGGCTTCTGATACACAGCGGAGTGTGTCTCTTGTTGTTTATGCACCAACTAACAGTTAACCGCCCCGTCCCGCATTACCAGGCTTCGACTAGCCAGTGTAATGCACCGGGCTTCGTATTGATAGCCGTGCATGTATATATATATATATATATATATATATATATATATATATATATATATATATATATATATATATATATATATATATATATATATACTATATATATATTAATTGATCTGTTTTGTTTGTATTTTTAATACTTACTGCAAACTGAAAAAAAAATGCATCAAAAGTCGTATATTTGTCTGTTTTTCATACAAAAACAAACAATAAAACAATCTTTTGTCCAAAGAAAAGCACAGTATTTCGAAAACACCGGAAAATGTTCCACAACACTCCAATGTACCAATAAAAATCTTAGACGAAAACTAACTAATTAACGTTACGACAAGCACTAAAGGTACAGTTTCGTTGATGCGACTCGCGGCTGCGGCTTGCGGCTGCGACCTTAGCCGCGCCACTGCTTAGTACAATTTGTATGCATATGTTTTGGTTGGCGCGTTCAGTCGCAGTCTGGTGTGGGCCCCTAAATGGTGGGGGCCCTGAACCTGAAATGCGTCTCCGCTTATAATTTTGATAGATTAAATAATATTATGTATTTTAACACAAAAATTTTGAGGATAGAATTAGGTTAATATAAACTGAAAACATAAAATAAACATCAATAACAAACTAAAGTAAATAGTAAGCATGGAAACACTGTTTATCCTTATTTGATCACCAGGTCATAATTATTGATTTATCCCAGTCCCTGAACAATTTTGCAAATACCTACCTACCCATTCGGAAAAATATTATTCAATAATTACAGAAATGTGGTACTAACCTCACAATGATACACTTCCTAAGCGGAAAATCATTTCATTAGTTATCTTAGTTGGTGTGATGCTTCACACCCGAAAAAATTGTCCAATATTGTAAACTCTTTTCTTGACAATATTGTGCAAATGGTTAAATGGGTGATTCTCCAGAACGGAGCAAATATGCTGAAACTCTTTAATAAAATATACTAATGAAAGTAGTTAGCATTTAAATAACACTACAATAGACAGTTTATATCTAGCAGTAGAACGTACTTAACCAAAAAAATAAAACATTATTTATTTTATTAATTTGAATTTTCTTAAAGGCTTTAAAGTCACCACCTAGCGTAGGGACAACAAATCATCCATAACTATTAGACTAGCAAACTTATTGATATTTTAACCCAAAATGTCGAATAAAGCATGAGACACCATTTTACAGCTGAGTTCTTTGCAGTCTTTTAATATATGATAAATCCCCTGTATAAAAGGTATTTTAGTAATGTTTGAAGACTTCGTCGTTTAAGTGATTTAGTGTTGATTTGTGTAAGCAAGGCAAAGGGGGTGTAATATTTAATAAAAATTTATAAAGAACAATTATTTGCGATAAAACGGGTAGGTATTTTTATTAAAGATCAACTCCATGTCTTTAATAACAAAGGGATTTAAATACAATTGAAATTTAAACTTTCTCCAGGTGAAATAACCAAATATGCTTTACTTAAATTACAGTTAACTAAAAATAAATTATGTACCATTTTCTAAAGTTTGTGACTTTAACTATAAAAACATCAACTCCATGGAGTTAAAAGGTATGTCCATGGAGTTGTTTACTTTCTTATTATTGCCCTAAACTCTTAGCTCATATAAGTTAAGGCATTATTAACGATAATTAATAATATATGGTTATAATAAATTTAATTTAATTTAATTTTTCTTTAAAAAAATTCTCTAATAGTATTATTATTATAACTATATACAGCACATACATATAGAGATGAAATGGATAGTTGTTTGGCCAGACACCGGATCCCGAATATCCGACAAGAACTGAAGTCGGATAGCCGGATATCCGGCGGCCTGATAGCCGGATATCCGACTTCAATTCTTGTCGGATATCCGGCGGCCGGATTGCCGGATATCCGGCGGCCGGATAGCCGGCAGTTAAAATATCGAATTTTGTTTCCTTTATTTGCATTTTTAAAGAATAATATTATTCTATTTAAATAAAAGTATTAATAGTATATTTAAGTACAAGTGGCGAAAGGCACTGTTTTCCCACACGAGTCCGCTTCGCGGCTCGTGCCGTAAAGGACGAGTGCTTGGACTGTGCATTCCAAAACGATTGTGAACATTATGGATTAGGAAATTTTTATGTTAAAAATCATTTGCAAACATTTGCTAAAAGATGGTTCTTTTCTGACATCTATTCAGATTCAGATTCAGAAGATGATTTGCCGTTATCTTATCTAATTCAGAAATCAACAGAACAGGCAGTACAAGGTTAGATTTATGTTGGTTTTATGTTATTGTGTCAACTCCATGGTTCAGAACGTCAACTCCACGGACTCATTTTTTTTTATTAAATAATAGAAAAGTATTAAGTTTAATTTATAGCCGCCTTGAAATTACTTTATGTTATTAAGAAATACACATTGAGGTATTATTTTGCTAGTGTTTTATTAATCTTTGCTTTTTATTTTTTTACCACCCCAATTTATCCCCGTTTTGGATATTCACCCAAATATAAAATCTTACTGTTTCCAACAAATTATAGAAAATTGACTTAAACAAACTAATTAGAAAAACCAATCCAACTATCTTGGATAAAGTAGCACATCTATAGAAAATTATGATCCAATGGCATGTTGCACAACTTTGTGCAATGTTTTTCAAACGGATTTTTCTCTAGGTACTACATCAGGGCGACACATATAAAACTTATTTAATACATTTGTAATTTATTTTAAGGATATTAAAGAATATCTAGACAATTCCAAAAAAGAAGTAATTTACTTCAGTTTAGGATCGAATATAAAAAGTTCCACCGCACCACACAACTTTTTGGATATTATTAAAGCAGCTATATCAGAACTCCCGTACAATTTTATATGGAAATGGGAAAATGATTCTATGCCCAATAAACCAAACAATGTTTTTTTGAAAAAATGGCTCCCACAACAGGATATATTAAGTAATAAAACAAACATTCAAGGAAAGTAAATCTATTTTAATTGCTTTAAGGGCATCCAAAAATAAAAGGGTTTATTACCCAGGGTGGAATACAGTCAATGGAAGAAGCTGTAACAAATGGGGTACCACTGGTGGTTTTCCCATTTTTTGGTGATCAAGCTTATAATGCTAGAAGAATGGTTCATATGGGAATCGGTTTAAAATTAGACTATAAATCTTTTACGAAGGAAGATTTTACAGACGCAGTTAATGAAATGGTTAACAACCCAATGTAAGTATACTTTTTTTTTAATTTTATATTATATTGTATCACTTTATGTTCCAGTTACAAACGCAATGCAAAAAAATTCCAAAGTCTCATTAAGGACCAACCCATGACAGGTTTAGAAAAAGCTGTTTGGTGGATCGAATTTACTATACGACATAAGGGAGATTTTAATTTTAAAAGTCATGCGGTTAATATACCATACTATCAATATTTTCTACTAGATATAATTTTGTTTGTATTAATTTTGGTTGTAATTTTATCAGTAGTGATTGCAAAACTCTTTAAATTAATTTTATATATTGTTTTTAAAACATCAAGTAAAAAAGATAAATCCAGTTAAAAACTGATTAATAAATAAAATATAATAAATATAAATTATATATAAAATATAATAAATATAAATTATGTATAATAGGGTGTGCCAAAAAACCTCGATATTTTTTTTTCTTGCTCTCAACCCAAAATATCGTAGAATATGTCCGAACAAATATTCTGTTAAAAGCGGAGCTCATAATTTCAATTTTAAGAGGTCCTCCATCGAATCTGAAGTTTTGCCGCTTAAATAACACAGAAAACTGTCTTTTTTACCTTATTTATTCTTGCAACCTAGGAAGAAATTTTTTTTTCATAAAATCCATGACTAATTCTTACAAAGCATTAAATTTGGACAAAAAAATCTTATTAAGCTGAATTTCTATTTTCAATATTTGATTTTTTACAGAGCTTTACATTTAAAGTTAATAATACAAAAATGATGACTTTATACGCCTGTAACTTTAAGAATATTGACGATACAAAAAATTCGCCTAAAACTTTTTTGTGGTTCATAAGACAAGCTAAAAAATTGCCATTTGACTTTTTCGTCTAACTTAAATAGTTTAGCTGAAAAAGGCAAAAAACGTAAAATTTTAAATTTAAAGCTCTGTAAAAAATCAAATAATAAAAATAGAAATTCGGCTTAATAAGATTTTTTCTTCCAAATTTAATGCTTTGTAAGAATTAGTCATGAATTTTATGAAAAAAAAAATTTCTTCCTAGGTTAACCCAAGAATAAATAAGTTAAAAAAGTCAGTTTTCTGTGTTATTTAAGCGGCAAAACTTCAGATTCGATGGAGGACCTCTTAAAATTGAAATTATGAGCTCCGCTTTTAACAGAATATTTGTTCGGACATATTCTACGATATTTTGGGTTGAGAGCAAGAAAAAAAAAATATCGAGGTTTTTTGGCACACCCTAATGTATAAATTGAATTGTATTTTTGTTTATATTTATTATATTCCTGTAATACAGGGTGCACCAAGTATCTTTCTATGTATGGGTATTGTATAAGTAAGTTGTACAAAAATCAGCGGTTCTGAAATAATTTAAAAAACAGTAAGTATGTTTTATATGTGTATTTCGTGTGTATTATGTGCATTTCGCCTACTGGATTTTGCCACCACCTTTTGTTTTTCCATGGCTGCCATATTGAAATTTTAAATGTTTAGAAAGAAAAAAAATCAAGGAATGTTTTCAACCACTTATGGCTGACATTATAAAAACAAAAGATGATAACTTAAAATAAAAAAGAATTGTTACTAAAATGCAACGCAACAGTTACCTAAAATAATGGTAACATTGTTACCGTTCCAAGTTAACCAATAAGCAATATAACAATAAAGTAACTATTGTGATGTAACAAAATTACCAATAAGCAACACTTTATTCTAAGAATGTTTTTCAAACCTTCCAGTGAGAATATTCTTAGGATCATGCTATATTTCTTCTAAAGAACATGCTTAAAAGACATACATAGCATGATCCTAGGAATATTCTTATTGGCCTATAGGCAGGTTCTTAAAAGGTGCAAAGTTTTAGTGGTAAAAATTAGTCTACTCTAAACATATGCTTAGAATGTTAAGAAAGTAATTGCTATAGAAAGTTCATTTAGGAATATTCCTGTTAACTTTCAGTTACCTATATAAAAGTAAAATAGTTTACTATACTATAGTATAATATAGTAGTATATACTGTATATATACTATAGTATTATTGTATACTATAGTACTCTCTGAGTATATTTAAATAAAAAAAAATCAAAATAAAATCCAAATTTAAGCTACTAGGTTAAACCTAAAAAATACAATTTTATTTACGGTAACAATTATAGGAGGTTACAATAGGTTAAAAATTATAATATTGTAAATTACAATTTCTAATATGTATGGTTTAAAAATTTTATTTATTGTGATGAGTAGGTTGGTAGGGTAGGTAAACTTTACCAACCTACCCAAATAGATTTTGCCAACCGTGTTTGGATTTGGAACTGCCTAGATTTGGGGGGGCGACTCCCCCCCTACACCCCCCTTAGGTCCGGCCCTGAGTAGCATCATTCACAATTAGTGTTGTAAGTGGAAATATTTCCAACGGAAATGGAAATATTGGAAATTTTCGAACATGTCTCGGAAATATTGGAAATATTCAAAAAAATTAAAACAAAAGTTTTATTTTATAATTTATATAATTTGGTATAATTTTATATTATAGAAATATCAAACTTGAAAAATATTTTCCGAAAAAGTACTTATATATACCTACCTATTATGAATATTTTCAGTTTGGGGATTCACCGTCATTTATGAGGCGCCGTTTGCGTCAAAATTATTTTATGCTTATATAGATAAAAATTCCACACATATATGTGTATTTCTATTTATGTACCAAAACGAAACTTTATATTTGTACCTGCACTTTTGCATTTTTATATATGTACCAAAACAAAACTTTATATTTGTACCTTTACTTTTGCATTTCTATATATTTACCAAAAAGAAACTTTATATTTGCATTTTCGCATATATATATGCGAAAATGCAAATATAAAGTTTCTTTTTGGTAAATATATAGAAATGCAAAAGTAAAGGTACAAATATAAAGTTTTGTTTTGGTACATATATAAAAATGCAAAAGTGCAGGTACAAATATAAAGTTTCGTTTTGGTACATAAATAGAAATGCAAAAGTGCATGTGCAAAGTTTCGTTTTGGTACACATATAGATATGCAAAGATGTGGGTACAAATATAGAATATAATATAATGTTATATAAAGTGTAGCATGGGCCGTTGGTACAAATATAAAAAGTAAGGTTTGGGACGGAGGCGCAAGATGGCGTTTTCAACACTTTTAACCATATACTTACCAAGTATATGCTTTTAACCGCGCTTAAACGTACGTCTGTTCTTACTACCTGCATTTAAGTTTCTAGTTTAATGTTTGTTTGTTTTAATTAAAACGAATCGTTTTGTTAAAAAATAGGTAAGAGTAAAAAGTAAAACGGCGTTTATAACTTACCTATTTTCAACTAAACTTCTTTTAATTAAAACAAACAAACGTTAAAAGTAGTTAATCTATAATACACAATAGAAAATTTAAATGCCGGTAGTAAGAACAGACGTACGCTTAAGCGCGGTTGAAAGTGTTAAAAACGCCATCTTGTGTCTCCGTCCCAAACCTTACTTTTTATATTTGTACCAACGGCCCATGCTACACTTTATATAACATTATATTATATTCTATATTTGTACCCACATCTTTGCATATCTATATGTGTACCAAAACGAAACCTTGTACATGCACTTTTGCATTTCTATATATGTACCAAAACAAAACTTTATATTTATACCTGCACTTTTGCATTTTTATATATGTACCAAAACAAAACTTTATATTTGTACCTTAACTTTTGCATTTCTATATATGTACCAAAAAAAAACTTTATATTTGCATTTTCGCATGTATGTGTGGAATTTTTTATCTATATAAGCCTAAAATAATTTTGACGCAAACGGCGCCTCATAGTCATTCACCGATTATTGACATTAAGGCACCGGGGAATTCCATTCCATTGATGATGACAGCGACGAAGACATGCCCCTCGCTCGATATGGTTCTAGTACCTATATGATTTTTTTAACTAATTTGTTTTAATTCTTTGTGTTTTTGTCATTTTACCTTTAACTTGTGTTCATTTATTTTGATTTTTTGGATAATATTTTTTCATTAAATGTTAAGTTTTTTTAAAATTCTTTAGTTTTTAATTCGTTTCCAATATTTCCATTAATTTCCAATGTTTCCGGAAATATTTCCGGAAATATTTCCAAAAAATATATTTCCGGAAATTTTACAACAAAATTTGAAATATTAACTCTGAAAAAAATTGGGGATGTTTTTGTAACTTTGCCCCCCCAAATGTTACGCCTATGATGAAATTTTAAAAGTTTTGATCTTAGATCTAGATTCAGCATGTAAAAATTACCAAAGTACCAAAAATTCATTTCTTCATGAACGTTTTAATGAAAATATGAGATAATAATAATGAGAGTAATTTATTTATAAATGCATTTTTCTCGAAAATGGTGCATCTGAGCTCTCTAAATAAAGAGTACCTATTTTTCGTAAAAAACTATAAATTTTCATAATTTCATAAACAAAAATTAAAACATTAACCTAGAAAAAAGTTAGGGCTATTTTTGTAACTTTGCCCCCCCAAATGTAACGCCTATGATTCAATTTTAACAGTTTTGATCTAAGATCTATTTTCAGCATGTCAAAATTACCAAAGTACCAAAAATTTATATCTTCCTGTTTAAACCTCTAGGAATAGTTTAAAAAAAATGATCAGGACTCTTAGGCTCCTATTCAGGGGGCCGTAGCTCCGTTAGGGGGCATTTTTTGATACATGTTTATTAAACAAACAAGTTTTATTTTTCTATAAAGAATGCACTTTTTAAGTTTGGCCCCCCAATTTCGGGACACCCTGTATAGGCAAGAATTTTGACGTATACGTCAAAATTCTTGGCCAAGAATCTGGTCGAATTCTGGTCACAGACTTGTCGCAAGTCTGGCACCAGTCTGGATAAAGAATTTTGATCAAGAGTCTTGGTCAAGAATTGTCCAATTCTTTACAAAGTGCTTTTCCAAGTATCTTGACAAAGAATCTTGTCCAATTCCATTGCTACTAGGGCCCTAGTAGCAATTTTGTCAAAGACTTGGGCCAGAATGGGTCAAGATACTTTGTACAGATTTTTTATCAAGAATCAGACAAGAATTGCTCCAGATTCTTGGCCAAGATTATTGGGCAAGACTTAGGCCAGAATGGGTCAAGATACTTTGTACAGATTTTTTATCAAGAATGGGACAAGAATTGTTCCAGATTCTTGGCCAAGATTATTGGGCAAGACTTGAGCCAGACTGTGGCCAGAATTTTGACAAGAAATCTATAGAGTAGAGGTTCTCATTCTACAGTAGCATCAGAGCCGTACCGAGGCACACTTTTGGGGGGGGGGGGCGGAGACGATAAAAAAC